GCAGGGCCGGAGTCCGTGCGGGGCCCCGCGGGGCTCCCACCGATGGCCGTCCGCACTCCGCAGAGCCCCCGCGGGCGGCACGCCAGGTCCCGGGCCGCGGAAGATGGAACCGTGGGAGCGGGGTCCGGAGGCGGAGCTGCTGGGCGCCGAGGGGGACTGCGTGCGTGGGGCTGCGTGCGGTGGACCAGGGCTGCGGACTGGACACTTGGGCTAACGGATAAAAAATCAATACCAAGGGCTGGGGCTTTAGCTCAGCTGCGCAGCGCCTGCCTGGCAAGCGCAAGGTCGTGAGTTCGATTCCCGGTACCAGAAAAAAACAAACAGAAAAGAGATTTAAAAATCAATACCTCACGCTGTTCGTCTTTTCAAGACTCTGTATTCACTGAGCTCGGAGGACCCGCATGGGCCCGGGTCAGCCAAGCCCAGGCAAGCGGCGGGAGGGAATCAACCTTGACGTAGACGGCCTAGACCTCCGTGCAACTGGGCGAGAGGGCGGAGAGGAGGCACAGGCGGGACACCGGCTCAGGTCCTGACGACTCCCCAATGGGAGTTTGATTTGATTGCGGAAAAGTATTAGGGCGTAAAGATCTAGTGAACAGTGCTATTTATCTTCTGTGCAGTTTTCTGCACGTTCTAGAAACCAGAATGTTCAAGAACCGCTGCTTTCTGAGTAACAGTGGGTAACTCAGTCTTCTAGGGCTTCCATTTGTCCTTTGTTAAAACAAGAGAATGACAGTAAATGAATTTTGAGTGGTAAAATCCTGTTATTGTATTATTAACATTCATACTTGCAGGTTCAAAGTCTGGAGTAGTCAGATCTAAAGCCAAAAGCGCGAGTGCACGCGCACACACGGACAGCAGACACAACCTCCACAACCTCCTTTTCAGTGAAGCGGGATGGCTAGCTTCTGTCCTGTTCACCTCTACGTAACGATGCTCCAGAAGACATTCATTCTTTGGGACTAATTGTTGATTGTAAAGCTCTATAAATTAGAAGCACTTCCAATGACTATTTTCTTCTAATTATGCCATTTTACCTCATCAGAAATATTTATTGCAGTAGTTGGTTTGGGTTTTTTGTTTTGTTTTGTTTTGTTTTTTTTGCCCTATTTACTTTCACAAGCTTCTGTGGCCTAGTCTTTGAATTATCCAGTCAGCTGAGTTTATACTGACCATTTCACTGGCATCACAGAGTTCCTTTAAAACATTACTTGTGTTTAAGTGACACCTTGCATTGTGAATCCTGTAATCCATAATAATTAACCCTACAGTAATTGAGAAGGTATACTTTACAGAATTCTCTCTCATGAATGAACTGTGGCACATTGCAATTAGAGTGCTTTGTCTGAGACAAAACAGCGGGCCTAGAAGCCAAACTCAAGATGCTGAGGGAGAAACAAAAATGTCAGTACACCAGAACCCTATTATAATGAAGTTCTTATCATATTAATTTAGATGTATTACCTGCCTATCTCTGTTCCTGGGATGTAAGTGCAGGTAGGAAAGCGAATATAAATATAGAGCATAACCCCCAAAGAGTGCATGATCTCTTCTTCCAAGTTAGCATTATAAAGAGATTAGAAAAACTTGCCAGTGCAGGTAAAGTTCACATTTTTGTCTTTAGGCTTCCGTCTTATTAAAAGAACTCCAGTCACTGGGTGTAAGAGTAAACTGAAAGAGCCATTTTGTATGTTCATATACACTTCCAAGAAATTGTGGCGAGAACCTATTTTTCCACATAAATATTAGCTGAAGCTCCAGATTTTCAGTTTTGAATCTTCTCTAAAAGTAGGTCTTGTTGTCAAAAACATATAGAAAACAAGCACATAGGAGACAAAGACACTGGTTGTGCAGTCACTACAAATGACTGGTAATGTTAAAAGCAACTATACAGACTGGGGGTAAAGTTCTGTGGTAGAGCTTATGCAGCATTCCTGAGGCCCCCAGTTCAATCTCTAGCATTGGGGGAGAACGGGATGGGGATCACAAAATAAAGGATTAGAACCTCTAATTTTCTTTCATACAGGTGAAAATACTGTCAAGCCAAAATCAGATTTTCTTGCCTAAGTAAAAATTAGTTAAGTATACAATAAGCTTTTTATAAAATTTACCGTTGCAGGGGCTGGGGATTTAGCTCAGCGGCAAAGCACCTGCCTGGCAAGTGCAAGGTCGTGAGTTCGGTCCCCGGTACCGGAGAAAAACCAAAAAACCAAAAAAATAAAAATAAAAAAATAAAATAAAATAAAATTTACCGTTGCAATAGTAAATTCATATACCCAAATTATTACAAACCTACTTGCAAGTTTTCCAGAAGCTAAACTGAATGTCAGATTTTTTATTTACATTAAAATCAAATCAAATAAAAAATTGAGTACCTCATTGTCTTTTTTTTTTTTTCTTTTTTGATTTTTTTTCCAGTACCAGGAATTGAACTCATGACGTCCCACTTGCCAGGCAAGCACTGTGCTACTGAGCTAAATCCCCAGCCCCTGTACCTCATTGTCACTGCCTAAGTTTCAAGCACTTAGTAACATGTGGACAATGACTGTGGAATCACAGGGCATAAATCCAATCCCAAATACATTCGGGTCTTTAATTAAATGTTACTTTTTGAGACAGGGTCTTGCTACATTGCCCATGCTGGTCTTGAACTCTTGGAATCAAGGGATCTTCCCAACTCAATCTCCCAAGTAGCTAGGACTTTAAGTGTGCTCCATAGTCTGGCTAATAAAATATTTTAAGTGATTAAAGATTAAATATACAGACCTGTATTTTTGCAGTATTCACAAAGGAATTATTACATTACTTGTAGAGTAATTCAAGTTATGCAACCTTATTAGTCTTTTTTTAATTAAGTTTATTGGTACAATTTAGATATATATAATGATCACATTCATCATAGGAAATTTGTACCTGCATATGATATATTAATCTTTTACTTATATAGCTCTTTATAAGTCATAAATTATTAACTATAAGTGCTACACAAAATGTTTTCTTTACAAAACTCTGATGCTTTTCTTTTTCCTCAGTCAATTTAGGTGTTTCATTCCTCAAATGATTAAAACTTCAGAAAGTCCCGACTGATGACATGGCATACAGAATAACTCTCAGATAGGAAGACTGCATTTTAAACAAACCTCTTGGATACAGGTATCCAAATAAGTAATGTGCTTCCAGATAATCGAACTGCCTGAGGGACTTTACCCAAACTCCCAGTGCTATTGCCATTATCCAAAATGTTTTTTTCTGATTCTTCTTTCGAAATTCTTATTTACTCTGGTAAACACAACACAATGTTCTAAGAGTATTAGTTTCCCATCCCCTGGTAGCAGGGATTACAACTTCAGCGTATGTTTTGGGAGACACAATTTAATCCATAACAAGTATGAAGTCTGCAAGGAGACTAAGTATGTATCTTTCTAGCTCTGTGACTTTGGGGATCTTATTCTCTTTAGGCCTCAGTTTCTCCAATTGAAAAATGGGGATAATAAATGTACCTGCTTTTTAAAGTTATGGGGATTAAATCAAGTGATATCTGTGTGTTTATCCAACAAATATTTATTGGTCACTTACTATATTGCAAGCTCTGACCTAGCCCTGGAAGAGTACAAACTCCTTGGCATCTGGAAATTATATCCTACTGAGACAATAAACAAGTTATAACTATATCTTATCATATGATTCAATATATGTAAATCAGTATAGCGCTTGACACATAGCACATTAACAGAGGTTATTCTTTTCCTTCAAGATCTAATTTATCTTACAAGTCATTGCCCATTCCTCCTATAGTTATTTACACCTTACCTTATTCAAAGTGTTTATTAAACACATACTATATACTGAACCTCACACTAGGTACTGGTATGCAGACATAGGCCTATGGGAAGAAGCAGCCAGTATATAAGAAAAGCAGATCATTACAAAATGTGAACTATGAAAGAAGTTAATGTGTAGTTCACCAACCAGTAACATTAAGATTAGTGTTTAAGGGCCAGGGATATAGCTCAGCAGCACAAGTGCCTGCCTGGCAAGCTCAAGGTCCTGAGCTCAATTCCGGTACCGAAAAAAAAAAAAAAATCCTAAGATTAGTGTTTAAACATTTATAATGCTTTTAATTGTATTTTTCTATACTGTTTGGGATACTTGGTATTTAAGTACTTGAAAATTGAAGGATAGAAGTATTTTTAGGTGTAACTATAAAATAGCATCAATAATGCTTCACCTACATGTTTATAATAGACTTTTCCCCACTGGGGATATTCTTAGAAATATGTCATCAAAAAGGGAAAGAACTTATTTAGACAAGTAATACCTATTGTACTAGTCAAAGATGCATAGTTTAGAATACGGACTCTAGAATTAGCCATAATAATAAGTTCCTCTTACATATAATAATAATAAGCTCCTATTCCGTCTTTGCTATCCTAACCCTTGTGTGCCCTTGTTAAGTTACCCATTCCCTCTGTCTAAAATGACCTACTCTCATCAATAATAAGCACTATATGGATATTTGTCAAATACAAACACAATAAATACCAAAATCAGGCACCTGGCTTTATACACTTAATTTGAACTTTTGAAAAGTAAACATTACCATCACTGCAAAAAGCTGAAGTATTCTAAGACTGCAAAATTTACTCACAATTTCAGTAGTTAAACATTTTGGCATTAGAGAGTAGAATTAACTGACTGACTTAATACAATTAAGTACTAAACTTATAAGATTAAGAAATCATACTAGATTCTTGTGTTTGTCTTTGTTTCATAGCAAATTAAATTCTTTTTGAAATCTCTTACTTCTGTTTAATTTTCATGTTTTAAAATTTGAGGATAAATGTACTTGAACAGATAGTTAAACCCATGACAACTTTTCCTTTGTTTGTCTGTTTGTTTTCTCCCAGACGTGACTGGAGTACAGCTTCTACAATATACAGTTGTTGTGGTTGGACCTAAAGTGTCCTCCAAAGTCTCATGTATTCAGAGAGGTGGCTTTTGGAAAGTAACTGGATTGTGGAGACGTTGTAAGCTGACTTGCTGTTAGAAGGTGAGGCCTAGCTGGAGACCTGGGTCCCTGGGCTTGTGACCTGCAAGTGTACATTTCCCCTCCAGGCTCTGCTCTTTGCTCCCTGCTTCCTGGCCCCCATGATGCGAGCAGCTTTCCTCCGCCAGACCTTTCCATCACACCCTTCCTGCCTTGAAGCAAGCCAATTATGAACTGAAACCTCTAAAACCTGCAGCTGAAATAAACCGCTCCTCCTGTAAGTTGCTGGGTGTCTTGTTTTGTCCTCCTGACAAGCAAGTGACTAAAAGAATAATGTATCCATGTAGGTCCAAGGTCAACAATATATTGGAAGTGAAAGCTTACCATTTGCATTGTCCTTTGTACCTGTACAAGTCCAAACTTGTATTCTGGGTTAAGAAATAATAGAGCTACTCAGATTCTGCAGGAAGCAAGGAAATTATGTCCTCCCAAAACTTGGAAAAGCCTACAAGGTATTCCAATTACATATTTATTGATATATAATATATTTCCTCAAAGTTTACTGGCTTAAAACAATAACAATCATTACATTCTGTCTCATGGTTTCTGTGCATTCTAAATTTGAGAAGGACTTCACTGCTTGAGTTAGGCTGAGGGTTTTTCATATGATTGTAGTGAAAAAAGTGGCTGTGAGCACCTACAATACCAGCTACTTGATGACTAAGGCAGGAGGATCACTTAAAGAATTTGAGACCAATCTGGGCAATATAGCAAGACCTCATTTCAAAAACAAAGTGTCCAAGATTAGGAAATGGGGGTAACTGGCTAATGGCTGGGGGCTGACCCATCATACCCCCCACCTCTCACCCCATCTTGGACTTTCTCCATATGTAATCTTTATGGGCTGGATTGCCTACTTCATAGCATGGTAGCCTTAGGCCGAACGAAGTATTACATGGTCCCTGCAGGCTTCCAGAGCAAGTGTTCCAGAGAACAAGGTAAAAAGTGCTTTTCCTTTGGATGACCTAGCCTTGGAGGTCACATCCTGTCACTTCTCCCGTACTTTCTTTTTTTTGTGTGGTTTTTGGTTTTTTCTCCGGTACCAGGAACCGAACTCACGACCTTGCGCTTGCCAGGCAGGCGCTTTTGCCGCTGAGCTAAATCCCCAGCCCTCCCGTCCTTTCTTGATCCGCACCATCACAAAAGCCTGTCTCAGTGAACATATTAAAAGTCTCATCGTAAGAACAGCTGGTGTGATAGGGACCCGTTTGGAGCCATTTGGAAGATACAGTCGTCACAGGATTGGGTCCGTAGCCCTCAAGGTTGAAATAAAGGATTTAACTCACCCTTGTAAAATAAATTTGTAGGTTTGCTGACTCTCATCACAGAAAACAACTTTGCACGATACATCAGTAATGAGGAGGATTTATTAGGCAAAGAAGGAGCAACAGTATTTATTACAGAGTGAAAGCAGAAAGCAGCCTTCAGTGTAAAGCAAAAGCAAACAACCTTCAGCCCAAAGAACCTGGGAGGGGGCCCAAAAGGGATTCCCAGCCTAGGGCTTTTATACTCCATAAATGACTACATTGCTAAAATAAGCAACATTAACACAACAAAGACATTCTTTATAGGGGTATGGCTCTCTTGTTCCTGCACAAGAAAAGTCTAACAATCTAGTGAGGCCTTTTTTGAGCACTGGTCGTCAGTGGGTTGTTCCCCAAGTCTTTCTGACGCCCTCTTTGGCTTGTTCTCTCCTGGTCGTCTGTGACTCTCTCCTCCAGGGCTTGCTCACTGGCAGCCTCCACACATACACTCAGGGCCGGGCCTCTACACCTTACTTTGTTAACAGAGACGGTTACAGCTTAGGTAACCAGCTGTGACCTGGAAGCTGCACTCTTTTTATGAAGTACAGTTGTTAGTCAGGATTTTCTTGCCTCTTTATTTCTTTTATTTTAGCTCAGTCTCACACAGAGTTAGGAATTTCTGTGTAACTGTTCTGGAACATCATTATTATATGACTGGTTCATCTAAAATATGCAGTAGGTGGTACCCTTGACATAAACAAATTGTTGACACCAATATAAAACGTGTACAAGTAAACAAGTTGAGAACCCTCCCAAAATACTTTAGAGAGTACGTGTAATTCAGTTTAGACTTAGGTTTAAGCCTAAGTCTTACTGTATCTTCAGTTGTTAGAATTGCTGATGATTATTCTGAGTATAAAAAGTATCTTCTAAATTGTTTTCAATCTGGGGCTGGGGATTTAGCTCAGTGGCAAAGCACCTGCCTGGCAAGCGCAAGGTCATGAGTTCGGTTCCTGGTACCGGAGAAAAACCAAAACAAAACAATTGTTTTCAATCTGGCTTAATGAAGTATATTTTCTTTTAATATTTTTGAAAAACAGTGATTCCTAAAACAAAGTGTTAGTGCTCAGCCAGAATATTAAATTAGCCATAACACACCATTTTGCAATGTATTTTAAGTACCTAGGAGATTACCAAACTAAACTAGTTTCATGGAATATGTACAAGGAATAGTGAAAGAATTATATATTTGAAAGAAAAGACATTTGAGCCTGTTGGAGCCATGTAGCCATTTAGCTTTAGGAAGAACACCACATGAAAAATCATTATAGATGTGGAATAATAAACAGAATTTTTTAATGTGGAAAAATATGCTCCAAGACTATTGATAATATTTCATTTTGCACTTATGTAATGTTTGAAATTTGTTTAAAGAGTATAAATTACTTTTATGCCCAGGAAAAAGCACTTTTAAAAATGTGGAATACACCCACGGGGAGGATATAATCAAACCAATATTCTAAAACCCAGCATGTGGTACATGCATGTAATCCCAGCTATTTGGGAGTCTGAGAAGGGTGGATCACTTAAGCCCAAGAGTTTGAGATCAGCCTAGGCAACATAGTGAGGCTATCTGAAAAATAAACTAAAAAACTGGTATTCTATAAAATTCTAGGGATCACAATTACTTTTTTTGTTCAAAAAATAATTTGAGGTCATGGTTCACCATTATACTTCATTAACCGCCTACAGTATGAATGGATACTTTAAAACCACGACTGCTTGCTAGTTTGGCAATCACATAATGCAACTCTAAGGAGAGGATAAGTTTCATAATACCTTACACTGCCAAACACCTGTGCAGATCCACCCTGCTCTCTTTACCTTTGAATAAACAAATTAGGAACAAAAACAGAACCAAAAATGATCTGAAGATAAAAAATTAAAATTAAAAAAAACTACAATGAATTTTGCCTTTTCCATAACAACAGACATTGAATTTACCATTTAACACAGATTTACCTAAAATAACAGACTAACTAAATTATCACCTAAAATAACACTTTATCAAAAAGTGATTTTTAAAATACTATATGATGTTACTAGTAACTCTATAAATAATAAAAGTATGTGGCTTTTTACTTCTCACCTACCTACATGTTTTGAAAAGTTTGATTCTAGAGTTAGAAAAAAATACACATTAAATATAGTTTATTTTCAAATAAAATTTTTCGAACACAAAAAATAAATCATTCAAAGAAGTAAGTTTCAAGGGTTGGGGATGTAGCTCAGTGGCACAGCGCTTGCCTGGCAAGCGAGAGGCCCTGAGTTCAATTCCCGGTACCAAATAATGAAGTTTCTCCTTGGGATGAGTAAACAGCTATTGCTTTAAAATTATCATTTCCAATTTCTAACACCGTATCAAACAATGTACCTTCTTATTTCAGATATATAACTGTGAATTTAAAAATCAGATACATAAAAGAGTTAGCCTCATTAAGTTGCTTTTATTTAATTTGAATAATCTCAAAAGACTGTTCTTTCTTTTTGAAGTCATCTCATAACACTTAAACTTTATTACTTCAGATATCATGGGCTGTATCTAGGGGTTAGAATCCAGTGACCTTCCAGAAATACAACTAAGCCAGTCTTAAGCACCAACTATCAATCTGTAATGTCACCAGAAACGTGGCATTTCAAATGCCGCTCTAAGCAGAAGCTCCTAATGTAATGGCAGAGCTCCAGACCTCCTGGTTTATAGGAGAGGCAGCATATGTGCATGAAAGGTTGTACTCTGGAGAGTTATACAAGAGATTCATTCATGATGGATGAGAGACCTGAGAGAAAGCACGTAGGACAGAGTACAAATTTGGAGTGTTAAAAAAAATTTGCCTTAATAAAAACAGCATGACCAAACTATTTTCCTGAACATATAGTCTAATTTCTGAAAGGAAATTGAGAAATCTTTAGGCAGGAGGAAAAAAGCAATATGAATTTGATAGGAAAGTTATTAAGTTATTCTGGATTTTTAAAAATTAAAAAAACAAACAAACCAGACTTTGGGTACCTGTTTTCCACACAGATCCATTTCATTCCAGACTTTTAAAGTAAACTGGAATTTATATGGGTTGCAGGAATCTTTACATACAATTGTTTACTTCATGCTGTTTATATTTAGGTTAGGAGATAAGTACTGCTAATACCACATCAAGAAGCAGCTTATCATTTGGCCTGGGCTTAACCCGCTCCAGTCACTCCACCCCACAAGCTGTTTATCATTTGTTGCTAATGAATCAGAAAAGAGCCTCCTCAGTACATTTTCCTCTTTTCACTGTGGAAGTTGCTTTGTCTGCCCTTAAATTGGTCTGTGGAAAGACCTGAGACGATTATGTCCCTTCCATGATGGCCTTAGTATGGTAGAAAATAAGGGCAAGGCAGGAACTAAGTTTATCGTGGAAGAAAGAACTACGTAAGCAGATACTGAGGAAACACATAAATGCACGCACGCACGCACGCAAACACACACACCATTTTTTTAAATGTATACTTCACTAACCCATCCTTGATGCAAGGTTAAAAAACAAAAAGCAAAAAATGAAAAGTCTATGCTGATCAGAAAACTTCCAGAACATGGGCAAAGTTATGGCCAAACTATAAACTCACTGCGCTAAAAAGAGTTATCGAAGTGCCCTCAAGGTCTTGAAATTAATTTCAGTAACATCTCAAGGTTTGCCAGAGAATAAATTCTTGGAAGTTTTACAGTCAGAGCCTCCAGACTCTGATTCATACTTTGATCTGTCTACAGGGAAACTGGCATATAATTACAAAAATGTCAAATCTCTTCATGAGAATACCAAATCAACCTGGACATTGTTATGTATATTTTTCTGGTAATTATTTTTATAATATCTATTAAAGAGACATTAAATCCACCTCATGAGAAACAAATAGATTTTAATCACATCTTCCTCCAGCAT